ACAGCATTTTTTCACACCTACCTAAAACCTTTGCACAGTACTGTTTCATAAATGGGTTACTTTGTTTAGTTTGTTAAACCAAGTCTTGGTTCAGTTTCACCCTCTGGGTATGTCTGCATTTGCTTTTGTGGATGTCACATAATTTGTTTCCATAGAAATCCACGTGGATTTGTTCTGCATTGTATTTCTGGGGATTTCTACAGGAACATTTTGAACATAAGAATGCCCTGCCCAATTTTTAAGACTGGTAAAACAGCTAAGTTTTCCATCTCTTTCCTCTCTGGTTTAAGGCAGACTATAATTTGGTTTGTACTTGCCTCTAAACCAAATTAGAAATCAAAGAATACCCAAATTAGTGTTTGTGCTTCAATTGAAGTAATGAAAATGATACTTCATCATGGACTAGACAAATTTCATATTGCTGTGGTCAAAGAATGGAAGTTTTGTTTGAGAAAAAGGATTCTAATATTGATACATTTTGTAACTATTTAGATACATATTATTATTATTAATATCCCACTTTTATTTGTACAATTCAAAGCAGCATACAGAATGCTCCCATCTGCTGTTTTTCCCCACAACAGCAAACCTGCTTAGATACAGTATTTTTTACTGTTTGGATCAAAGTTATAAACAAGCTTAACAATCACTCTGTGATTTATTTTTAAGATTGTAGCCCAGCAACCAAATGGCCTGCGTGCTTCCAAGTTACCTGGAGAATTTAAGGTAGAGGTTGTCTATTCAGATTTACTTGTGCTTACTGCCTTTTTCACCTGCAAGCACACTCTCTTTCTCTTTCTCTGTACAACAACTATTGGGACAAATAGGAGAGTATATACCTTGGTCCTAGTGCCATATTTAACCACTACATGGGCTTTTAGTATAAAATAGTAGATGCATACCATAAGAACATACATGGGGAAATGCCAGGTGCAAAGACACTGAGGAGTTCACAGGGAAGACGTTTCACAGGCTGATAAGTTAGTTTCTCTCACATTTTTAATTGACAGTTTGTTTTGTACCCATAACCCACCCCCTGACATGGACATGCTATGGCAGAACATTGCATACATGCCTGGTGTCCAGGGAGTGTTGCATGTTTACCCCTGTAAGCATTTACCTTTAGTAAAACTTGTGATGATTGCACTAGCTTTCATCTCCTCTTTCTTGGAAATCTCTCATGGATATTGGCCCCTGGAAGGCATTTACATTTGCATTTATACCCGGGAAAACAGAGAAACAAGTTTTCAGAGATAAAGCATGGCGTAAAATGGTTTCCTGTTTGGAAGGATGCTTTCCTATTTATGACACAAGTTGATAATTTGTTATTGTGAGTTGATTTTGTTCAAGATTTTACCTCTTTTTCTCTCATTTATTCTCATTTATTTATCAGTATTGAGGCAAAATCTTTCTGGGAATAATGTTAGCTGAGTTTACTAATATCTCATTTAATCAGTCCTGCAAATTGAGCCATGGATTTCTATTTTGATTTCTAAGGGGTTTTTTTCTTTATCTAGGAGCATTTTCATGAAAAATTGCCAGTAAGAAAACTGGGTTTCTTAAATTTGATGGAACTTGTTGGTGCCCTTAATGATGTTCTCCGTATTGAATACAAAGAAGAGAAACAAGATTGGCTCATCTTTGACATTGATTCACAAAACTTGCCGGATGGTAAGTGGAAGTCCTGCATGCACAAATCTACCGAGAAGATGGGCCCCTTTATATAATTTGGTTATACAGATTTCTATTTAAGTATTTAAATGTTTACAATATAATTAATAAAAATGTATGTTTACATTCTTACACTGTAGATAATTTTTTTTCGAATTACTAAAGAACCTGTATTGAATTATATTTTCTGTATACCATTAAATTGCTTCCAGAAAATTGGGTTAATGGCTGTTCTGTTCTTGGCACACAGTATGCTGTGTATGTATTTATAATAGGAAGTTGCAGCATGTATCCATTTCTTCTTTTGAAATCAATAGTCTTAGTTCCAGCCTGGACTCCTACATTATTATATAAGTAGCAAAGTATATAGGGGTTTTATGACATTTATTTAATATTCAAGGAGAGTCTGGGGGTATGTGACAAAATGGATTGAATTTAAAAGACATGGCTTCTTTTAAGTAAGCTTCCTAAAGTACCTCAGAGATTCACTGTTAACTTGACAGAAACAAGCAGGGATGAACAACTTGAGGCCTTCTAGATATTGCTGAACAGAATTGAAAGTATCTCTCACCATTGGTCATGTTGGTTAGGATGCTGGGAAGATGAGAAGAGAACATTTGAATAGGATATCAAATCGCCATTCTGTCATTTTACTCTAAATTTCTCCCTACTCGATTTCTTCAATGGGTTGGTACCCATCCTTGTATATTTTGACTGGGAGATTCAAGACAGTAAGGTGCAGTGAGACTAGATATGTCAAACTTCCCCCAGAGTAGTACACAATGGTTATAACAAATTAAAAGTTTTTAATTATAAAACATAGCAAATTTTAAAACTTTATTACATTTTTGTTCTAGCTTAAAATGCTTGCTGTGTTTGGGATAATCAGCAGATTGTATTTGATGTTCTGCAGAGGATTTACATAAAATGCAATATTTGAGTCAAAAAATTAAACCTCTGCTCTCCCTGCAGAAGATGCAGCATGGTAGATTCCAGGGAGCCTAAGAAACTCTGGTTAAAGAACTTGGCACAAGGCTTATTTGTACACTTAAATGTTTTTGCATATGAAATTGATGCAGTTGTATGGTCTACTTCAGGATACTGGATAGAGGTGAAACATGAATCAGTGCTAGTTATAGCATGTATTTCTGTCTTTCACTAAAGGAATTAAACAGATGTCACAAAGGTTGGGTACAAAACTTAACTTTTAATATTGTGGCTGCTCAATGCAAATAATTTTTTTTTTTAATAGTTTGGCTTTTTCTATTGTTGTTGTAAGCCACCTAGAGTTGTGTTTTAAGATGGGTGGCTGCCAAAATCTTTTAAATAAATAAATAAAATCCTCCAGGTGTGGGTTAACATGGGAGACATGCAATATTATTTGGGAGTCTGAACTAGTGTGCTTGCCTGGCTGCTTTCTTTGGGTGGGTAAAAGGAGTCAGAGGGCTGCAAAGAGTGCCCTATGCTTCTGAAAAATGTTCTCTGTTCTGCATCTCTGAAGGCAAAAAGCTGGCAGACAGACATGAATTTCACTAGAAAACCACTGCAGGGATTTGGAGCATATCCCACACTGAATTTTTTTCTCTAAAATTAAAATAGCCAGCTTAAGCAGTATTGTTTAAACGTATGATTAATAACCTGGTTGTTTGGCCCAGTATTTATTGTATAATATTCCTGAATGCAAACTTTCCCTATTTTTGAATGCAAATTTCCATGTGTTCTAATATAAATCTATGTTGTTCCTACAGATGAACAAACAAATGATAAGATTGCTCAGTCTAGTTTATTAGGACACCAGGAGGCCTCTGAAGAGCATGAACTGCCCGCATTGGAGGATTCTAAGACACTGGAGACTAAGTTCAGTGTAGTAACAAAGATGGTGACACCGGTAGGGTGGCATTATAATAAGATACATTTATGTAGTAAAAGATCATTTAACTTTAAACAATTGTAATAAAACCAAAGTTGCAGAGAGTAACAACAACAATAAAATCCAAGATAGCTGAAAAGGCGGAGAAAATAAAAATGGCTTTGCCTGGCATTAAAGTGACAATGAATCTCTGGGAAGGTATTTTACCATGTGAGCACTACTACATAAATATCTGATGCTGTACTCACTGCCACTCAATGGGCCTCGAAAGAAGAACTCAAGCTCCAGGTATTCATTTGTACAGAGAAGTAATCTTTCAGTACTCTGTACAAGAGGTGAAGCCCCAGAATGGGAAAAACAAGGATGTTAAATTGGTTCCAGAAGAGAATGGGAGCCATTGAAGTACTGATATTGCATGTTCATGTTTTTTCAGTTCTAAGTAGTAGTCTCAACCATATTTTCAGTAATATGACATTGCTAACCCACTTCTAAAGGCCAATTACATGGCATTGTAGTAGTCCAAATGAGAATCTTTTAAGACATGATTAGCTGAACCCAGGCTACAATCTGTCCTCTGTGTGTGTGTGTGTGTGTGTGTGAGAGAGAGAGAGAGATAGGTAGGTGTTCATAGCTGGGGAAAAGTACTATAGCTTACAGAGGCAACTTGTTTTCTAAGGGACAAAAATGGATCATGAATGTTACCAGACTCTGAGTCTGATCCTTCAGACAGAATACATTTTATCTAGAACTGATAAAACTTTATTAATATGGACAGCCAGCTATTAAAAGGATCGTAATCTTATCCAGATTGAACAGCTTTTTTGATCTCATAAAATCCATTATCTTTTCCAGGCACTAATTTAGTCTACTGAATAATTAACTAAATTAGATAAAAAGGAATAGAATTGGTTAACTGACTAATGATAATTTAACTCCAAATTTTGGGATGATTTCCAAGATCCCAAAATATATCTCTTGAAGAATTGAACAGAAATGCCCCAGCCATCCCTTCTTGAATTTACCATTCAAACAGTGGAATTACTGAACAGTTCTGATTGCCTAGCTTCTCCAGAAGTATACCAATGGATTCCAGAGAAGAGAGGATGAATCAATGACACTGAGTTCCTACATGACTCTCCTTGCAAAAATTATATCAGGAAATTGCCAAAATTGAGCCTTTCATTGGGAATCGAGAGTGACAGATCATTACACCCTGATTGAATGGTGAAAAAATGACTCATTTAAGAGTACTTGAAGTTGACTGGCAACCACTCGTAAGCAATAATTATTCTATTGCTTCCTTGAAAAGAATGTTAGGATAATTTTGGTGTGAAGTATCCTTAGATACTAAGATTCTTGTACTTTTCAAGATGTGTATTTTTCCACTGAGTAGTGCAGATTTTAAAATTAGTTTTTGCTATTTTGTGCAGTCCTTTCTGTTTATTAAATGATATGTAAAATGAAGGTGGGGGATGTGATTTGGGTGATGGAGAGAGGTGTAGGAATATCATTTTGCAAATTATATTGACAGTTACCAAATAAAACAGGCAATGCAATATTCTTTTTTTTATATAATTTCCATTTATATATGTGTATTGCAGTAATGGAGGGTGGTAGTACACAAAATTCAAATATGAAGAGCTCAAGAATCATAGAGTTTTGGAAAGCTGAAAAAATAACTTTTATGTTTCCTTGTCATGGTTTTCAAGCCATGATCATGTCCTGAGTTTTATGTGAAGGTGATTCTTTCTTCTTTCCTTGCATTTACAGAACCTAGGCATAGAGAAAGATCACATTATTCAGGAAATAATGGAAGAAGAAATACCACCAGATGCTGTTCAAGATGAAACCCTTTATAGTCTCCCCCAGCTTGGCAGCAGTGCTTTGGTTGGATTATTTGTGGAGTACATTGTGTCCCCTTCACAATTCTATGTCCGAATCTGCAGTGGAGAAACTTCTGATAAGCTGGAAAATATCATGATTGAGATGAGGTGAAGATATATTTGGCTGGTTTTCTAGAGTGTTAGAGACATCTGTCTTTGCATGAACCTTACTAAAATTGAAGGGAGAGTGAGAGTTCAGTTTGGTTTTTTTGTGCATGGATGCTTGTGATATAGTACATAACTCTCAACCACTTGCAGTGCAACTACTTTCAAGATAGTTATTCATGCACATTTCAAAGTGTGAACTTTCAACATTTGGTTTTACAATTGTCATGTTCGAAAGATGGTGGGGAAGAACTGTAAGCGTTGTCATAATCTTTCAGTAATTCAGATTTTCATAACTTATATGTACCATTCCGACAAGAAAACCCCCCAAAATAGCAATAGGATTAGATAGGAAACATTTTTGCAGGCTTGAAGCAAAAATTACTAAAATAGTACCAGATGATCTAGCCTGCTATTAAATGTCATCCGTATGTAACATATGAGATATGGGAAGGTTGACTTTGTTAAGATGGCCAGTCGGGAGTTCAAATATTGACACTCCAGCCACTACCTAGTCCTCATCTTAGTGTTTGTTTTGTGACTAAGAAAAAAATGTGGCCACTGTATGTGAGAACAGCAGAGTTATGCCTCAAATCTATCAGAGAAGATGAATGAACAATATGAGAGACATGTAGACTTCAGGAAGGAGGAGGGAGTTCCTACCAGTGGGAAACCACTTTCTCCACAGCTGTTGAGGACATACTACATACTGTCTGTCAGAAATTTCAGCTTTTCCCAAGAATGGATCTCCATGAATGTGGAGGATGTCTTGGTTCTGGTATTTCTAAACTGAATTTTTCCCAAATGCTCTGTTTAATTTTTTAAACATTAAGATTGGTTAAAAAATAGGATTTTTAAAACTGGGTATTTTTTGCCACTCAAATAATGCATCAGAGACCTATTCCTGTTTACCTTACAAGAAGTCCCCCTGAATTCAATACAGAACACCTCAATACTGATCCATGTTTAGGATGTTGTAGGAAGAAAGTTGTATTAATCTATGGTAGCCAAAAAACAGGATTCTTGTAGCACCTTTTCAGACTGCAAAGTTGTAGCTCATGAAAGCTTATACCTTTTAATAATATTTGTTAGGCTAGAAAGGTGCTACCAGATTTCTCTGGATGTGTAGGATGCTACAATGGTGAATTGTACATTTGAATCTTGTCTTTCAGACGATGCTATTCTAGTAAATATGTAGCTAATCGTTATGTCATACCTGAAGCCTTAATCCGCCCTGGCCAGCTTTGTTGTCTAAGTAATTCTGAAGACAGATGGTGGTACCGAGTTATCATTCATCGACTTCTTAATGACCAAGAAGTAGAAGTGTTTTACCCAGACTTTGGAAACGTGAGAATAGCTCAAAAATCTTCACTGAGGCTTCTCAAGTAAGTAAACTGTTAGTTTGTCTTTAAAGATGTATAATGACACATAAAGTCTTTCATAAACTCATTCTCACATACTATAATTTAGACTTAATGTTGATCAAGATTGGGGAACTAGTCTGGCAGTCATTCCACGGACTATCAAATTAAGAGATCAACATCAACTTTTACACTGATCACACTTTCTGATCATTATTATTGCAGCTGTTTGGGCTCAGAGCCATTGCAAGGCCAGGGAAGGCTAATCCTTTCTCCAGCTCCTTTGTTCCATTTCCTAAAAAATTTCTTACACGTGCACAGGGTGGAGTGGAGTGTTGGTTTTTGTTTTTTAAAAAACATATGCTGTAGGAACAGCTTTACTTTGGTTCGATTTTTGCCTCTCATTTTGTTTTCTTGATAGACTGCTTAGTTAGCCATTAGTCTGACATTCTAGACCATGTTCAAGATCAGTCACAGTAAATGATAGTTACATGTTGTGGTGTAAGCACTAGATTTGGATGACATGGTAAACTAAACCACAATTTGTTTTATCAAGATTGGGTAGTAATAATAATATCATCAAAACATAGACTCCAGAAATTTTGCTACTTATTTTGAGGACTAGATTATTTTGGAATTTTGTGACAGAATTGGAATACTTCTGAAGGGTATTTATATGTCTTTTTTTTCATTTAGTAATAAAATGGGGTGTTCCTTGCCCTTGCAAACAACCAAGGACCATAGAGTTTGTGTTC